CAAATAAATAATGTTTGTAGCATAATAATATCAGATTAATGACGTCACGGGTGGTGTCACAAATAATGGTATCACGGCAATGATGTCACGAGCGATGACGTCACACGCCAGGATTCCTACGCATCCATCGACTGTTATGTTGGGATGACTTCTGGAAGATGCTTTGGTACTGTAAGAGACAGAGAACACGTCGGCTGATGCTGTGCTTCATGAACAACGTAGTATATTTAAGTGAAAGATGAATAACTTTTGGTTTTCTGTTGAATGCTTTACAGTGCATAGAAACACGTAAATGATAGATTAATATATATAGTACATCAACTAATGAAATAAGTAAGCGGTCTCCTTATAAAAATAGAAAAGAAAAAAAAGAGTTGCACAGACCTACAAAATGAAACGAACGCGACAACATTCACCTGGACATTCGTCTGCTCCAAAGAAATATACAAGCAATGCAAAATCACTAAACAAACACATTCACGTTCATTCAGTCTCACCTAAAGACTAGCAGTAGTTATAGTGTCAAGTTATATTGGCAGTGCAAAATGATTGAACGTAAGTTCAACCACGCTTAAAGACCAGTTGCTGTTAGATTGTCAAATAATACTGGCAATACAAAATCACTAAACATAAACACAATTACGCTTAACCAGCCCCCAAATGACAGACTAGTGGCAGTACTTACCAATGAAGACGGCGAGGCAAACCCCCCAGTCCTTGCCTTGAGATGACTCCATCGTCACACACCAAGGACGCGAGAAGTCCCTGTCTATACACCCAGAGTACTGTTGCCCCTTGTACGTGAAGGGGAACTTGCAACGCTGGCCCTCTGCGGTTGTTACGATCCTGGCGCTATCTGGAAAGGGGAGGGAGAGGAAAGGGGAGGAAAAGGGAAGCTCAGGTCATGTACTTGCATAGGGTTGAAAGAGGGTCGCGCAATGTCAAAAGGAATTTCAAGTTGTGGGGTTGAAGTTAAGTGAATTGCGGTATTAGGGAGAAAAATAGAAAGTTTAAGTAGTGAAGCTGAGGAGGTTAAGACAGGTTATATAGTGAAGGATAGGAAGTTTAAAGAATGAAAGTCAAGCAAGTTTATATAATGAAGGTTAAGGAAGGTAAAGGAAACTGTTGTGATGTAGGTTGATGGAATCTAAATAATGAAATCTAAAGAAATTTAAGTAATGTTTCTAGAGGAGGGCTGAGGATTGATGTTACGATATGTCTGTTTTCAGGGAACTTTAGTATGTTCATGAATATATGATTTATTTCT